AGGTTTGTAAAATCCTCAATATAGCATTCTTCTTCTCTTCTCTCTCTCTGTGTCAATAGCTGAGTAATTAGCAATAAGCATAACATGGTAAAATGAGCTTGCAAAATTTTTTTGCTTCACGTGGTGATTCTGTAGGACACTTGGGATTTCCTGTGAGCATGTGGTCTCTTTGTAGGGGTTTGAAGATCAGCAGGTACAGACAGATTATGCCGGACTACACGACAGGTTCGGGGTTCTCACGAGCGATAATTTGAGGTTGACCAAATGGTCAAGCTGCTTTCATAGGTCGGGTTTCTACTGCCGTATGTAGGCCACTTCCAAGTAGCACGCGGTTCGATTTGTTCGTGCCCGAAAAACTGTACTGACGTCGACAGAATGACTGCTGTCTAACAGATGCCTAGTTATTCAGGGCCGTGGGGGCTAGACAGCGATAATTCTAACTGTCTAGCCCCATGGTCCTTAATTACTAGGCAAATGGAGGGAGGAAAAAATGGGTGCGCTATGATTCGCAGTGTCTACATACTGACGGGCTTCTTCGTAATAACCGGTACATGCAGGCACAACCACGTGCGTCTTTTACCTGCGCTTCGCGGCCAACTGCCTCCTCAATACCACGGCAGAATAAGACATACAAAGCAGCCTGGACGTCTTCGTCATCGACTGCGTCAATTTCGGACTAACAACCAATACGGAGAAAACGGTGGTCATGCAATAACCGTCACTCAGAGCGGAATACAATGCTCCTCGAATCAATACCGAAGGCACCCTAATGCAAATCTATGGAGAACTTCAGCTATCTCGGAAGCACACTATCGGGCAACACCAGAATCGACGGCAAAGGTGCATACCTGATTTTAAGGGCCAGTCAGACTATTCGCCCGCTGGAAGGCTCCGTATGGAATCGCCACGGCTTTTAAAATGAAAACGAGACTGAAGGGGTAAAAAGCTGTCGTCTTGATGTCATTCCCGTTTGGAGCCGAGACCTGGACCCTCTAGTCCAACCAAGTGTGGAAGTTGAATCACTTCCATCTCAGCTGCCTCTGCTGAATACTGAAAGAGGATAGGATTCCGAACATGGAAGTCCTGAAACGAACCGGAATCCTCAGCATCCATGGCATGCTGAGGCAAGCGCACT